GGGATGAAATCGGATAGGGATGAAATTGTTTAGGGATGAACGGGTTTAAGAGTTTTAAGAGTTTAAGAGTTTTTAAGAGTTTTAGCCAAATGCTTTATAATATAGTATAGATAATTCTATTAACTTAATAGTTTTGTATTTTGTGTGGATTGCTAACTATATTACAACACTTGAACCATAATTGGCGTAAAGCCGAAACCAAATATCCGAATCAATAAGATGCTCGAGATTGATAGATCTCCAACCTCTGTTTGGCTTCCAAAACAAGCGTTTCCAATGAAGAATCCTGCATCAAATGACCCTGTTTCAAGGCCCACTGAAGGACGATTAGCACATCTTCTTGCGCTAATGTCTCGCTATCGGGCACGTGTAGCGCGATATAGCACAGGAGGATTAATCCCGGTAGTTGAGTCATTTGTTCTCCAAAATAAGTCAGTTGAATCAAGTGTTTAGGCGCTCCGGCCTCTAAAATCGCCTTGCAATGGTTAACGTGCAAGTAATTATCGGTGCACGCAAACTTGATCAATGCAATGGCCGCCTCTGCTGACACCTCCGTCTCCCTCTCGTCGAGGAGTTTCACCAAGGGACCGATGATTCTTGTTTCAGTTGCTCGAAATGTTCGAGCTAAGTTACCAATTGATTGGATGCTTGGGATAAGTAGGTCAGATTCGGAGTCTCCTTTGATTACGATTTTAAGCAACTTGTCCACAACCTCACGAGCGGTTGGGGACGTTGGTTTGAAGGCCGAACGTCGCAGCTCTGCATGACGTTCGGCCACTGCAGTGATTTCCGCAAGTGCCATTGCTGAATTGTATTGTACTTCATCTTGACCCTTTTCCAAGAGTACCGCGAAACATAGGAGTGCGCGTGATTCCGTTATGGTTTTGCAGATGGAGAAATTTCCGGCACAAAGGTGTCGTAAGGCTCGAGCAGCCATCGCCTTCATTTCAATCTTCGTAGCTGGATCTTCAAATTCTCTCCCTTTGATGCTTGCCCCAGGCAACGCAACGCGTCTCCGACTTCCTTGTCGTCGTTGTTGTTGGTTTGATTTCGTACTATTCGTCTTCGTGGGCTTCATTGCGAATGTGCATTTCATGACATTTTGCATATCGCCTGAATCTGAATCTGGACCGTTGGGACGTGTGACGTGGCACCGATCATCGTCGTCTTGTCCTCTCTTACCATTTGGTTCTGAATTCGCGATGACGACCGCATGAATCGACCCCATTTTATTTTTGCCAACGATCGCATACTTGCTATGTTCTTCAATTGTCTCAAACGCTAAATGACTCACGAGCAAACGAATAGTGTTGTTTTGCAAGAAATGCTCTTGACATTTCGGATGGTTTGCGGCTAACTCGGAAATGGCCCACGCGACAACGATCTGTACCTTCATATGCCCTTCTTTCAGTACTTTCGCAAACACCGAACAAGCGCCAGCATTGACGATTTGCTCGACGCTCTCGGGATCGCGACCAAGCAAACCTATTGCTCTCATCGCGCTCTCTTGCCCTTCCATCCTCCCCTCTTTCGCAAGTTTCAAAAGCGGCGGCACACCACCTTCTTCGATGATCAATTTACCGTATCGATCGTTGTCGCGCGCCAACGAGACGAGCGACGCTGCGGCATCCGCCCGATCCTCGAGCGTGCCGCAACAAAGGATCGCAACTTGCTCCCAGATCAAGCACAGGATCGGCTCGTTGGCGGCAATAGGCGGCAATCCAACGTACTCATCGTCGCGTTCATCGGCCGGGGTGGAGACACGGAGGAGCCAAGACACGTCTCCGACCGAATTCTCGATCTGCTGCGAGGATTTCCGGAGGGCCGCGGTGGGGATGATGGTGAACACCCGCCGGATTCCGCTAGCTTGGCACTTGAATACTAGTTGCAGCGTCTTGTCCAAAACCTGTTCGGTGTCATCAATGATCCGGCGTGTGGGTCGTTCATAAAGGTCATTGCTTGCACGCGCCGCCTGCCGGAGTAGGGCGACAAGCTTCTCTGTCTTGTTCTTGATATCGGCGCAATCCTGCTTGAATGCGCAAGCTAATTCTGCTTCTTTTATAATTTGGTCCGCCAATTGTATCGGTCTTGCCAAGATCTGTTTCACGATGTCCGCCATCGTCAACGGCGGACCGCCTCCGTCGTGTTCTTGGAATTATAGAGAGATAAAGTGAAGGGCTAGAGAGAGAAAATGGGTGGTTCCAAAATCAAAATTGATGTTTCTTGAAATTGGGATACCATCAAATTTTGTTAAAACATTTCTGATCGTCGATCTCTTTGGATCACCTTCAAAAGGGCTTCTATTTTCCTTCAAGAAACGACCATGCAAGAAGGTGGCGACGGCGGCCCGCGGCGGTGATGATGACGGGAGAAGAGAGAAGGCGATGCTGCAGAGGGTTAAATGCAAATTACTTTTAAAACTAATTAAAAATTTTAATTAAATGTATTAATATTTGATTTTTTTAATCGACCGAAAATTACGGTTACAAAGTACAAACCACATGGTTGGTAAACAGAAAACGAGTGGGCGTGCACACCACGTGCCGCCGGTACCGGAATCCTACGAGATTCTGCGGCATGTCACCGGCGATTTTAACAATCTTCGCACGAAACACTCTTATTACATAAAAAATTGAAACTTTTTACACAAATAAAACCAATCACAAAAAATGACGTGAAAGTACAACTTTTAATGCACAAGGTACGATTATTTTACGGTCCAAAAAAAGACTTAAGTTTTTCCTTCGACTCTTGCATGAGTAAGCCCAACACAAGCGTCAACAAAATCTTCATCGATAAAATCGGTTGAAAATACTTGCAACCGGTCCGCTATACTTCGAGAATAGCATTGCGTAATGAACACCCTTGCATACCCGTGGATCCGTTTCGTAACCGGTTTCACACACAAAACCGGGTTATCTGCTTGCGGTGTCACCGTATTCTCAACCCGATAAAAGTATTTTCGGGAACTCAAGGTCTGTTGTTTACTCAGGTAACTCAAATTACTCTCGAATTTCGTTGCCGGCAAATCGGTATCGATCCAATTATCTTTCAAATAACCCGAACTCCAAAACGGGCTACCGGGTTTTGGTGGGTCGGATTTTTGAGGCTTCCAGATACAAATAATTCGTTTTGGAAGAATCTCCGCCACTGATTTTTGGAATATTTGATCATCTTGATGGATCAAGTATTCCCCAAGTTGTTGCTCCAAGTATTTCTCGAATTCGGGTGGGTCGTTGTGTCCAAATTCGGTTCGGATCTCGAGGATAATGATTTCGGATTCGGTTTCCGATATGAACTTCTTGACGTCGTTGATCACATTATCGATACTGTACGTGGTGAGAATCCCATGGCAGACTTTTCGGTTCTCGTTGACCCGAATATCAAGCAAACGGGTCCCGATTACAAGTTGTTGGTAAATGGATAACGATTGACATTGGGCGAACGGCCGAGAAACCATCTTGATTCCGATCTTGTTGGTGGCGGAATCATGGGTTCCCGGCCAAACAATCTGGTTCAGGTGAATTTTCTCCGGGTTGAGGCCGGAAATCCAGTTTTTCCGATCGGTTGGATGGTAATCGCAGCCGGGAAAGTTGCAGCCGGAGCTCTCTTCGAGTTCCCGTAAAGTTTTCTTCTCGTCGGCGATTAATTTCCGGCGTTCCGCCTGTTTAGACCACTGAGCTCCCATTTTTTTGGTTTTTCTATGAAGATTAGTAGGGAAATGATTGGATTTGTGGGTTTAAATATAAAATAAAAATATTTAAATAATTTTTAGCTGTCTTTTTCTTTCTTTTTATTGATTGCAAAAAGCATCATGCTTGTTAGATTTGTACTTTGTGTTATAGAAATTGTACCATAATAATAATGACAAATAGACATCTTTACGGTAGTATTTGGTTCATAGACCCAACGAGAGGATATTAGTGGGGTGTTTGTTTCGATTTTTTTATTAACCTGGATATCTAATTTGTTATGCAAATCGACTAATCACATGACGACTATTTGTTTTGCAGATAGCCAGAAGTCATCGTATTTGAATCTTCGTAGCCACAAAGAGATTTTTATTCCTCCTTAGATTTGAACCTGGGACCTCCAGGTACTTTTGATCTTTGGAACCAAGTTCAAACCAATCAGACACCACCTTTGTGGTTGTTCGGACAGTTTTTAAGTCTTTTTTAATAAATTTTTTGTACAGATTTAAAAGATTTTTATTTTAATAGATGAAAGAAAGATGTTTTTTAATTGGAAGAAACAAGTGCAGAAAAGAAATCAGGCTTTCTGTACAAACCTCCCATTGCAAGTTTACTGAATGAGCTATTTTTTATATCATTAAGTCACTATCAAACATTTATGTATCGTATTAACCTCATTAAGTTGTTAACAAACGGACTCTAATTGCTTCATTCAAAGGAAAATGATTTGGATCATAAGTGCTTGTACATGTTACTACAACAATTGTGCTTTGTTTCACACATAAGATGTCAAAACAGTCATGTGATGGTAACTTGTACATCTTATAACAAGATGTTAATATTATTCCGTTTTGAATAATACATCAAGACTTGATAATTTGTTTGACAATCAAGATTTCAATGTTCGCGTTAAATTTAACAGACGCTAAAATTTGTTTCAAAAAAATATAAAATATGAACGTAAATAATCGCATCATATCATAAAAACTTGTAAATTAAACATTAAAAGTTGTAGTTTAATGGAATGATATTGTCATGGTGGGTGGGGTTGGTGATGTTTGGGACGTGTTCTAAAATGTATGGTTGACAAAAGATAATCCAAAGCCAGTTGGATTATATGAGGTTTTGATATTTTTGAAAAATATGTCTTTAATTCAATAAATTCATAAAATCTGAATTTTATTATATGATGTATTTTATAATTACAAAGAGTTGCACACGAAATCAACCATTCATAAATCGTTTGGCTGGAAGATGATTTATTTAATAAATGGATAAATACAAATATATATGGTGGTTGTTTTTTGTTCATTTATCTTCGTTTTTAGCATATTAATGAACGAACACGAACAAACATAATTTCTTAACGAACGAACATGAACATAAAAAATTTGTTCGTGTTCGTTTATTTAATTAAGCCAAACACTAACGAACCTTCGTTCGTTCGTGTTCACTCGATTTGTTTACAGTCTAATTATAACCATATAAATCATATTCGGGTTTAACGGTTATCAAGATTCTTGCAACAATGATTGTATCATAGAAATGTGTTGTACAAAATTATTGTGGTTGTCTAATTCAAAGACCTTGTTGGAATCAATTGTATCACACAATGAAGATATTCCTTTTCGATGAAACTTATCTTTTTATAAAAAAATAATATTATTAACCAAGGTATGATTTTGAGATAATTATTGATGATTTACGGTATTTATATAAATCAGGAATAACTATAACTATTAATAAAAATAATTTTCATCAACATATAATATTTTTTTTTTACACTTTAAACTTCGCAACAAAACATTATGAAGATAAACTTCACAGTGTTTTTGCTGTGAAAGTTCGATTTTCTTTACATTCACAACATTTTGCTGTAAAGATTCAAGTGTAAGAAAATGGTCTCACGAAAACAGACTGATCTCATGTGAACCAAACTATATATATAGAGAGAGAGGTTGGTTCAAATACTAACTCATTTTTTTGTGTTAACTATGAGAACCAACATCAACCAATCATGTTCCATCTTTTAGTTAGGTTCAAATGTAACTCACATATTAAGTGTAAGAGTATTTAGGTAATTTGTCATTTTTATGTAACTCCCCAATATTTTAATTGGGAGTTACAAATCTTAAAATATCACTAATTGATCTTCGTGTAATAATGACATGAAATTTCATATTTGTTCATCTTACTGATTTTTACATTTCATTATTCCTACAATGGTTTTGATATTGTAAATTTCAAAAAAGTCCATTTTGTAAAGATTTCGTTATAGTCCGAGTAATATGGATAATCATAGAGTAAAATAGATCGACGACAATGAGAATGAAAAAGCTAAAAGCGTCTACGAATACATTCGAAATTCGAATCCCGAAAGTGAAGAAAATGATCAAAACGTTCACGCACATGTTCACTCAAACGTCGATATATGTGTTCACTCGTGCACATATGTGCTCAATTGGTTCACATAATATGTCCATTTGGTTCACACACATATTTCAATTGTTCATTAGGTTCACACATTGTTTTGATGAAGATTATGAACCTAATTTTTCAATTGTTCATTAGGTTCACACATTGTTTTGATGAAGATTATGAACCTAATTTTTCAATTGTTCATTAGGTTCACACATTGTTCATTAGGTTCACACACATGTTTCAATCTATCTGGATGTCGTCGCTTGGTAATCCTCCATTGTTTTGATGAAGATTATGAACCTAATTTTTCAATTGTTCATTAGGTTCACACATTGTTCATTAGGTTCACACACATGTTTCAATCTTATCTCGATGTCGTCGCCTGGTAATCCTTCCAAATCCTTCATTGTTTTGATGAAGATTATGAACCTAATTTTTAGCTACTGATTTAAGATATTGATCGATGAGATTGACGGTTTCTTTATTGATTGGAAGTTACAGAATAGRCTGACAAAATAGGATACGTTAAGATCATTCACTTTTTACAATTTACCCTCTGAACTATTGTGAACCTAATTTTTTTTTATTAATATGGTAATTAAATAATTAAATTTTTAGTTTCAATAAATGACAACCATTGGATGTTCAAATCAACGACCAAGATCGGTTAACAAAGTTAACACGATAATCTTATATATATATATATAGACTTGAGATCATGTGAGACCAATGATTTTTCGTGAGACCCGTAAGACCAATTCTCAACCATTCGATTAGATCTACAATCGTCGGATCTGAACATTCATAAACGCCACAAGATTTCTTAATAATTACCAAATTGTCACCGTGCAATTTAGACCGTTAAATCATTAACTTATAAAGTTGATCAATGAACATAAATTGGTCTTACGGGTCTCACAAAAAACGTTTGGTCTCACGTAAACCCAACCCTATATATATATATGTCGAGGTGTCCCTGTTGTTACAGCAAATATTGTGGGTCTCATGTAACCAATTATACACATAATGAATGTTTGCCACATTAGCAAGGGGAAGCTTTTGTATAAAATTCCACAAAAATGGAAAAATAGACCATATGAATCCAAATATTTCATCATGCCTATGTGGCAAACATTCATTATGTTGATTGGTATGTAATATATATTCATTAATAGAGAACATGGATAATATTAATATTAATTTTAATATTCATATATATTTTTTTAATTAATTTTTATTATTAAAATTAGATAAATTATTGATTGTAATAAACAGTTTGAATGACAAAAATAATCATTTTATTCGACTTCATTCCCCTTGCTTTGTTTTATTTTCTTAGTTCTATCATTTCAGTGTTTGTTTTATACCTTTTAATTTCACACTATTGAAATAAGCTACTTGAATGAATTCTGTTATGAATTTCTGAGTTTTACAAATCAACCCCTTAACTTTTAAAACTCTTCAACCTCCCCCCAAATTTATCCAAACACAATATCGGATACAACACAACGCTAATGAAATGATAAACATAAATATTACAATTTTAATGTAGTTTAAGTACATAACTAAATTACACGTTTTTAGCGTTTTTGTAACAAGTCCAATCAGTGGCGGATCCAAGATTTTTGTCTGGTGGGTCACCTTTAAGGTAGACTAAAGTCCCGCAAAGTCGTCTGACGTGTTTTTAGCCTAATTACACCGTTTCGAGGAATTTTTAAAGGTTTTTTTTTGTTGATTTTGAGGGATTCTTACTGTTTGTGTCAATTTCAAAATACTTTTTAGATTTTTTTGATTGATTTCAAGAGACTTTTTTGGGTTTTTTTTATTGATTTCGAGTATTGTGGAATCCCTTGCAAAAATTTAGTGGGGGGGGGGGATAGAAGGTAAAGTAATAAAATTTTATTTTTAACCCTTGTAAAAAAATTAATTTTTTTTTACTGGGGTCTTATCCCTAGGGATGAGTAACGGAACCGGGTACCCGACTATGGAACCGGAACCGCCTTGGAACTGCCGGTTCCGGAACTGATATGAGTGGTTCCGGTTCCGGTTCCTAAAATACGGAACCGATTGAGAATGGTTCCGGTTCTCAATTTTTTGAAACCGTTACCCGTCGGGTACCCGGTATTTTTCAAGTAAAAAAATAATAATTATTTTTTAATACCAAATTTATATTAGGTTTACATCTTGAAAGCAGGTCGTCATTTTCATTCTTCATTTAAATTCTCCATATAAAATGATTTGTATTTTTTCAAATTGTGTATTCACTTGGATTCATAGTATGTAATCGTTAAACTTTGAACATTTACCATTATAATATGTAATCGTTAAACTTTGAATATTTTCTATTAGTCTATTATAGTTTGTAATCGTTAAACAATATTTGTTACAATTATTTTGTATAATTTGTATTCTTGCTTATTTATTTAGTGTTTTGGCAATGTTTTATTTTTTATTTCTAAACAATAAAATTTTAATATTTTAGGAACCGGTTCCCGGCGGTTCCGGTTCCGGTTCCAAAAATTTAAGAACCGCTCTAACCGGTTCCGGTTCCAATATCTCAAAAAACGCCGGTTCCGGTTCCGGTTCCTGTCAAAAA